GAATAAACTTCATTAAGGATGATTTGATCAAAAGAATCTGAGCCCTAATACCTTTGTAAGATTCATTTAGGCCCGTCAAGAACTTCATTGCCCAATTATGTTGCTGATTTTGAAATATTGTTTCCAAACCTCCACATAAACAATTAGGGATGGACTCACAATTTAATAGTTCATCTAATAGAGTTTTGAATTTTGAAAAATAAACACTTACGGTGACACAACCCATCCCGAATCACCCTAGTGGACCCGAAACGTGACGTGCACCGATGATAGATGTTGACTAGATGTCAAATCTATCACAAAAGCTGACAATGAGTTATTTCAAAAAAAATGCAACAAAATCAAATGCTTATATAAAATATAATGCGATGGGCCCAAAATATTTACTCTGTGTTCATCAATATGAGTTATAATATTCAACATGTCGTGTGGCTCTCATTTGGAAATCATTAGGCTCTTCCAGCTAAAAAGAATCAATTTCCACCTGTAGGAAAATTACGGGAAAATATATGAGTTGATAGCTCAGTGAGTGGAGAAGTTCGAAAATAATTATACTTTTTCAATTTTACATTTTTATCGAAAATCGAATCCATATCATTTAATAATTCACAAGATAATATCATGTAATTATAACCAAAAGTGAAATATTCACATAAGGTCGTAAAATATCATCTCAAAATCATGATATAAACATCAGCTGATAACCATGATATAATCTCATTACATCAAACGTGCTGAAAAATTCACCAAAAATGTACCCTCTAACTGAAATATATAATCCGCCCCTCGGGCTAAGAACTTTCGTCATAGGCCTTTGGCCCCCTCCGTGAACGAAAGCCGGTCTCAAGACCTCTCATAATCAATTCTAGAACACGACCAAGACCCCTCTGTGAACTATATGTACACGATCAAGACCAATGTTAGGTCAAGACCCTCCATGTAGGATAGAACACGACCAAGACCCCTCTGTGAACTAGAAGAAGTATATAATCATGGGTACTTTTCTGGCCGATCTCAATATTGCATGTCTCATATACAAAACAAATCTCAATATCACATGTCTTACATAGCAAGTCGCAAATATGCCATAAATAATCTTTGATATTCCACGTGTATCATAATAACAGAGATTTCCATAATAACCATATAATTCGAACACATAATTGCACATACTTTGACAATATACTTAATTTATAAATATTTTAAAAATATTTATATTTTTCCACTCACAGTACTATGTTCGCAAAATCAACCCGGTTGGTAAGCTACTCTGGTGTCAGTATCATTGCCTGAAATACGATATCATTTTTAAATAAACAATTAATTATTTTAAATAATTTCAATAATTAAATAGACGATACCCAAATAAAATCATTTCACGTGTAAGGGATTTCTACAGTCTTTTTAATCACTAAAACTAATTTTTCATTCATTTTACTCAATTTCATAGTTTATTATACTTAACCCCTTCAATAAAATTGAATTTAATCTAACAATCTAACAACTATAAAATCAAACATAACTTGACAATAAGTAAATTTTTAGTTACTTTTCAAAATTGAGGAATTCAAGCATAATAATGTAGGCCAATTAATTCCTAACACGTTGGGAAAAATTTTCTATTTTTTTTTTTCTTCTTCTTCCCTTTTTTTTTCCTCTCTCTTTTCTCTCCTCTTTCTTTCTCTCCATTCTCGGCTTCGTTCACCTCTATATACGAAAATGGGTTTTCCTTCTCATTTGTGTGTGAATTGGATTGATACCGCCTGATCGTTTCCCTTTTCTTTTTCTTTTTAATTTTTTTTAATTAAGGTATTTCAAATTTCACCCCATAACTATAATTACGCTACAAGTCCCCAACCCTTATATAATTTAACATTTAGTCATCTTATTTATCATACTAGAAGCTAAATCCCAAAATTTATTTTTATATCATTTCGAGCCCTCTTAAGTACTAGCAATTTCAAATTTAAACCCCATGAAAATCATTCCTCCAACTTAAATCCTTATTTGGCTTTAACTTTAACTATATAATTCAATGACTTTGACTGTAATTGAGTGAGGTGTAACATATGGCACCTTGGTTCTATACTAATGTTATTATACCTTGTGTGGTATTAGAGATACGAGGTACATTTTATTGAGCAAACCTTTGCTCAAGTTTCAGCCATAATGATAGGCAATCTCTTCACCGTGCTACATTTGATGTCAACGGCCATGGTGTTTTGCATCCAAGTGATTAATATGTGCTTGCATCTCAACCAGTGTTCCATACATGGATCATTCGATTCTAAAATTTCACAAAGGGTGCCATCTATGAACCGCAATTTGTTCTTGATTCTAAGAGCCCTTCTCGTCGATCTGGCCCATGAATAGGCAATCTCTTCACCGTGCTACATTTGATGTCAACGGCCATGGTGTTTTGCATCCAAGTGATTAATATGTCCTTGCATCTCAACCAGTGTTCCATACATGGATCATTCGAGTCTAAAATTTCACAAAGGGTGCCATCTATGAACCGCAATTTGTTCTTGATTCTAAGAGCCCTTCTCGTCGATCTGGCCCATGAATAGTAATTGTTGGCTTCCGAGCTACGAGTCATCAACATGGCCCTTGTTCCATTATTTGTCCCAATGTAATATAGACTAGCTAGCTGAGTAGGATCATGATGAGAGTTTGCAAGTGGATTTGGATTTGTGTTTGGAGGTAGATTTGAATTTTGAATTTGGAATTATGTTTGAAGTAGTTTGATCATCTGTCATTGTAAGGCTCGATACCATACACGAAAAAGCTAAGTAATAGACAGAGCACAAAACTTTTGGAGAGAATTTTCTTATTGTATTGATTCTAATCTATATATCTAATACATAGAAAACCAACTTAAATAAAATACAAAACTAGCAGCATAACAAATTCCTGCATCTTGCCCAAAAGAATAGAAAAATATTTTGTACAATAACAAAATGCCCTTCCAGAATATCCACCTGCCCTTCTATTTATCTTCTAGATGTACTGCTTCTTCCTCTAGCCAAGTTAGCAACCCTTCATTCTTTAATAAAACTTGGGGATTCTCCAAGCTACAATGAGTTGAATAAACACGATGCACATAAGCTCATAGCTTTGTTCTTACATCTCGAAATTTTTGTTATGCGTGTGATACTTTTGAATATATACTTGCAATATTTTCGAGGGATTAGATTTATTAGAATTAGGTCATGGACAAATTAACTTTGATGAACTCCGACAAGGATAGTGATAATGGGAGTGACTTGAGCCAATAAAATATTATACACGGTTAATCTTTTACTCTTTAAGACGATTTTCAATGCTGCATCAAATTTGCGGTAAGCTTTGAACCATTTTACATCAAATCTTGCACTAAACTAATCATTACTAACCTATTACACCAAAACTTATACCAAATAAACAGTATTTAAGCTTTTTCTTCATTTTTTCGAATCCTAACAATTTATTTATTGAAAGAATTTTTGTTTTGACACTATTCGTTTTATACCATTTTGCACCAAAACGGTGCAAACTATGGTGCAACATTGAAGGTATTTTGCATCATTTTTTATGGGATAAAATGGTGTTTTGGGATCTCCATTAGAAATGCCTTAACTACCATATTGGTTAAATTTAAAAAAAATAAAAAATAAAAAATAAAAAAAAAAATTCTATAGAGAATCTACATTGATTGGTGTTTAGGTCTACGTTCTCCTCCTAAACTTGTATTTTATGAATAAATATTTCACCCTTGTCATGATTCAAACTTACCAAAAAAAAAAAAAGGGAGTCTCATAAATATAAAATTAAGATTAGTTTAATCAACTCAAATATTTTTTCTCAAACACATTTTGAAAAGGGAAATAAAATCAAATTAAAGAAAAAAAGAAATTCATAAATATTTAGAAAATTGTTCTATTGATTATGAAATTTCAAACATGTACAAGGCACAAGTTTAATGGGTTAAAACAAAAAAGTGATATACGATCAATTCAACATGATATTAGTCGACGAATTAATAACAGAAGAAGCATGTTCAGATGCTAGTTCAATCCATACAACATTCATAACTTCAAACTTTGTGACATCAATTTTGTGATCTTGTGTACTTTGCCCTCTGTGCTAATTTCCATAAAATTTAACAATTACAAAAAGTCACCAATCATCTTTGACTGTATTGAGTCTTTGGAACTGATGTATTAAAGTTTTGTTTTTCCTGAACCTAAATCAAATTATTCGGCTTTGGAACTGATGTATTAAAGTTCCGTTTTTCTTAAACCTAAATCAAATTAATGCTGCACGTCACAGGCCCCTGTCAAGCAACACACAATGGGGGCTGCCACTATTTTATTTTTTTCAAGTGGGACCCACTGCTACAATGAGGGGCCAGTAAGGCCCCTATGAAGAGTTGCTCTGTACGTGCAGCTTTATTGATCAAATTATTCGACTTTGGATAATGAGCATGTTCGAATATTACATAAGAAGTTAAAAGGGTCTAAGTGGATGGTTCGACTGACAATTAGGGTCCAATTTAGCCCTGATTTCATAAGGTCTATTTAAAAATATACTTGGAGCTAGGCTAGAAAATATCTTTCTAATTTGAGAATCTTACCTGCCCCCACCAACCAATATAGGGTGCAAGTCGGTCTAACTCGTCATTTTGAGTTTTGAGTAGGTGGGTCTTGACCTAGACACCGTGGGGAACTCGAAAATTTAAACCGAGTTCTACAAACTCTCCGTTTCTTTCCATCGTCATTCCGTGTCAAATGATTCACTTTAATTTCTAACAACTTTGAGACGTTTTTATTGACTGCTTTCTTGGCTGCAATAGGAATAGCACTTAAAAGCAAAAATACAAGCGAATGCTCCAAGAATATTTCAACACTTCTTTAATTTCTTTCAATCTCTGTCCCTTTCTCCGTATACTTTTTGCTTGACTCACACAAGAATGCACAAATTCAACGCCACCACAAAATATATACACATTTATCCACAAATTTCCGGCTCCGTACAAAAAGCAACACTATTTATTTTTTCCAACATTTTTGTACATTGATTGACAGTTTGAATTACATTATTAAAAACCCAAATACATTACTTACTCCAGGTATAATGTCATTTTTAATAGTCTATTGGAGTAAAATGAGAATAATAATAAAAAAACAGAAATTTTTCAAAGAAAAAAAGTGGAATATAAAGCTTATTGACATTCAATTCACTGGAAACCTTGAGCTGCTAACTTTATTGTTTCCATTGCTGTTATTTTTGCTATTCGTAACACCACCGCCGTAGTTGCTGGTGGTGGTGGTGGTTGCAACATTTGTGGCAGTGTTATTGGCATTGTTTGGATGTGAATTCCCAATAAGAGAGGTAATGGCAGCTGCCAATGCAGCAGTGAAATTTGGATCTGCTGCAAGTGCATTCATTGCGGCCGGAAGTGATGGCATGGCCTGTTGACCTCCTTCCATGTCCTCTGACATTTGGAGACCAGAAAACTTGGATTGATTGTGTAATGCTTGGCTGAAGATTTCCGGTAGAATGGCTTCTGGATTGCTTGAAAAACTGTTGGCGGCATTAGGAAATGGGATTTGGAATTGGTTTTGAGATCTTGGGAATTGTAAGGGATTTGGGGTTTGAGTTAAGTCCAATGTAACAGTAGGAAAAGGTGCGGAGGCGGATATGGTGGCCATGCTGGAGGAGCAAGGGAAGAGGGTGCGGGCGAGGAAATTTGAGTTGATTAGGCCATCGGCACTTGGCATTGAACCAGAGAGTAACATTCTTGCGGCTGAAGATGTAGCCGATGCCATTGCCATGGCTGCTGGTGGCAATGGGTGGTTGTGATTGCCTTCATACGTTGTTATTAGGATGGTTTTGTCTTCTGCACATCTTTGTACCTGTCAGGACAATGTTAAAAACGGAAAAAGTCAAAATTTTGTACGCCAAATTCTGCATACACAACATGCTCGAAAGGAACAAATTATTAGTACACTTGCTGTATATTCGATAAATTGGACCGTACTATATACATGATGAGATAACTGACTAATTTTCATATATTTTTCCATCTTAATCATGTTGTCTAGACCAAAGGGACAAACCTACCTTAATGACTGAAAATTTTCAAAGATTAGCTGGTAGAAACTGAATAGAGCAGTGAACTTTGCCTCTATATATATGCATATTAAAATAATGTGAATTCTTGTATGGGATTAGTAAATCATTTATTGATATTTAAATTACTATAATATCTTGGTTGTTCAAAAGTTGAAAATTTATACATACTTGTTTTCGAACCGGGCAACTGGCAGCCATGGTGCATCTATAATATGCCCGAGGACACGGGTTTCCCTTTGCCATCTTCTGCCCATACTTGCGCCATTGGCATCCATCCGTGATCTGACAACAACCAAATTTTTCAATGGCATAGTCAATCCAATATTATTCAGAACAAGATTTAATTTTTCGTTATGTATACTAGGTTCAATCGCGTACCATTGGAGCCTCTGATCGGGCTCTAACCGAAACTCGGGCCTTCCTCATAGTAGACTCGGCAGCTTGATCGATGCTTTCCGGAGAATGGTTGAGCCTAGGAACCTTGTTAGGACCCCAACCATGAGATCCCTTGTCTGAAATCTCCTCTCGCCCAATTTTCTTCAACAACCCATCGATATTATTCACCGGGGATCGTGATCGGTCCCGGCAGCTCCTTCCCTCGGTCGACGATAATGGGGCTACTTCCGTCTCCGCAGCCAGTCCAAGATCCATAAATTGTCTAGGCACCACAAAGCCATTACAATTTTGCTGTTGCTTGTTAGTATCGACCACTAGTTTTCCTCCATGTTCTTCTGTTATCCCATTATCATCATGAGCAGCTCTCTGATGATCTCTTTCTTGTTGTTGCTTCAGTGTTACCAGCTGCATCTGAAGACTGTTGTAGTCGTTTGTTACTTGATTTAACGTGTCCTTTAGTCGAAGATTTTCCGAATTCATTCTTTCCATTTCAGCTCGAAGGACAACCATCTAAGTCGATAAACATTTAGTACAAGTCAATATATTGTCAAGTTCTATTCAGTACCGTCAAAACTTAAAAATACAAATATGACTAATCTCACCTCAGTTTTCGATCTTTTATCTTCTGAATTCGGAGAAATCCCATCGTCCACTATGGACTGATCACTAGTAGTGTTGGCAGTGAGAAGATGCAAACCAGTCTATATTAAAACAAGAATTCTTAAGCATACAAACCAAACTGATCAATATTTAACTAACAGTACTAAAAGTCTTACATTTACATCGAAATCCAATTCTGTGGGATCGCTAAAATCCTTTTTGTTGATATCGCCAGTGCCTGTTTTCGACTCGTCATCATCTTTCTTGTCGGCGAAGAAGTCCATTTCATTGATAACCTTTCTTTTCTCATCAGAAGGCAATAGGTTGACCGGGTATTGCTCCATGGATAATAAAGACAAAGTGAGTGGTTCAAGGCGGTGGAGGCGATGGCGGTTGTGGTGGTGGTGATGGTGAGAAGAGAAAGGGATGTGAGGTAGTGGAGTGGGATTGGCCATATAAGAAGAGAAAACAGATAGAGCGAGAGAAGGGGTGTAGGAACTAGAAGGCTTCTAATTGAGCAAATGACTCGGCAATAAAAAGGGAAGACCAAATACAAATACTGTGTGAGATTTTGACATGGGACTTGCCCAGTCCTTTTTTCTTCTACATTATCAATTATAACATTAATCAAAATTACTTAGGTTTTTTTTTTTTTTTATCATTTTATAATGTATCAAAATTCAATAAGCTCCAACAACAAATTTAGTTCATCTTACAACATAAATTTTAGATCACGTGATTTAACAAGGTATCAAAGTTCAATAAATTTAGAATAACAATTTTGCACATTTCAAGCTCAAATGGATAGTGGAAATCCATGAGGGGTATATTTAAACAAGACATTATCTTGTAAAGGAATGCTAAAGAATAAATTTTACATCGATGAAATATTAAAATAATAAATAACATAGAATGAGGTTGAATTTCAGCAACAATTATGTACGTGTAAGTCTTTAATGGCAAAGATAACTTTTGTGTGCGCACAAGGAGTATATCGAAGATATGATTCAAATTATATATGTGTGACATTATCTATACTCTTAGACTTTAGATCAAAAGATTGAAAAATAAAACTTGTATCTTGAAAAGTCTCTTGGCAACTATTTTCAACAAAACAACCAAACAGTGATTTATCTATTCTCTTAATCTTTCCATCAAAACATTGAAAATGAAAACTCGATCTTATCGCTTAATCTTTAGATCAAAATATTGAAAATGAAAACTCAATATTGACAAATATTTTCAACAAAACAACCAAACAATGATTTTTGTGCTAAAGCCTCCGTGTGGGAAGAATTTCCAAACGGTTTGATTATTAAAAAAATATTTTTCACTAAAAGTGAAATTCCTTATACACGAAGGTTTTTTTTTTAATTAAAAAAATTAAAAAATAAGAAGAAGATTGCATAAATAATCAAGATGCTTTTGTTTTCAGCCAACGAAAAAAAGGTTCAATTAAATCATCGTGCCAAGTTGAATTTTGTGCAATGAGCAACATAGCTCTCATTTGGCAAATTTATAGAATATTAAATTATTTTCAATCACACATTTCAATGAATTTCCAATCCATTTATCTATTACATATATATATCCATTTATAAATTAAATAGGTTTATAAATCCTTTACAAATGGAAACATATTCGTAATACTTTTTTGACTACTTGCCTATAGGGGAAAATAACTAGGTATTATTGGACAATGACAGATAAAATATCAATAACTTATTTATTATTAGAAAATATTTTGTGTCCGTGCATATACAGATTTCTGGGTAAAAGTGAACAACTCTTCTGTATTATCCAATTTTATTTATAATCTGTTTGGTTTGGTTTGAAATTTGATTTTGATCTGAGTCAAAGTCAAACAATTAATATTAGTCACTTTTTTTATAGATCGTACAATTTTTTAATAATGCATTTCAAAAATTTATATCACAATTTACTAAAAAGATCTAATTTTAATTCCAGCCAAATATCCACCTAACATGCTGAGTGAAAAAAGCGTCATTCTTACGTCAAATCACACGCCATATTAATATATGAGGTAACGGGCCCACATTGATGGGCAAAGCAGCAAATGTGTAGTTCCTTCTTAGTAACGAATATTCGGCAATACTCAATAAAATTAAGCAGCGTAAAAAAAAAAAAAAAATTAAGCATAAAAGCGTTATTAAATTATGTCGACAAATATCTAATCCAATAAATAGGAAAAGGAAAAAGTTTTGAAAATAGAAAATGTAGGCGGTGAGGGGGCCCACATTGAAAATAGACAAAGTAAATGGGGGCTAAAATTGACGAATTGAAATTTAATACGTCTGAGTATTTTCAAAGGCGTTATCAAAATTCAGCGCCCCGATTGGCCCGGCACTGCCTCGTAACGAAGACGCCTTCTTCTATTAAATGCGGCTTTGAGTCAACGACTTTAATGGCACCTAAGCACGACTTATGGCCCCATTTTTAGCCACGCAGGAATATTTATATCCCCTTTTTTCTCTTCTTTATTTATCATCGGTGGCTGTGGCTCCCTATTGAGTTGACCCGGACTGCCAATTTTGATGGTCACTATTCTTACACAATATTTTCCTTTATTGTACCTTTACATAATTGAGTGAGATTAATTAATTCAAAAATGATGCAAATGAAGAAATTATCATTGACTTTGGCATGAATTTTTTAGATTCATCTAGGATTTACCAACTTTATTATCCATTCTCACTCACAGAAAAATCTAGATAATGCATTGAAGATATTGTCCATCACCATTTTAGATTTCTATAGGAAAATGACTTAGAACCAATTAATGGTATTATCTAGAATCATCAACTTTTGTGTAGAATAATTGTTACCACCAACTTGCCTCTATAAATAGGGGATGGTATATGGTGAAAAGTGTGTGAAGAGAGTGAGAGCAAATAGAATAAGTAGAGAAAGAGAGATGTAGTGAGGTAGTGCAGTATGTTAGTGAGGAGTGTTTTCATATAATCAAAGTGTGTCCAAAATAGTATAAAATTTTATCTTATGAATAAAAATTAATTTCTTTTGGTGTTTAAATTCAACATCAAACTCAACTAGATTTTGAGATTTGGCAAAATGAGTTTGAGCGGAAGTCCAAGAGATGTATGCAGTATGCATCTGGAAAACTTAGTGATAGTATTGCATGGACAGAGTTGCCGATAGCAGTGCATGAGCAGCGTTTCTTGATGGCAAGTTTTAATGAATAAGATCTTATATCGAATAAAGATGAAATATATAGATCAATTTATAAAAAATTGGAATGTTTCTCTTAATAAAGTTGACATTTTAATATAGAATCTCAAATCTTCATAGCAACAGTGCTCCATGGAAAGTAGCATTCTTCGATTGTGGGCAAATGTTGTGTGGTAGTGCGTGAAAGATGATGCCATCAGTTGCAGGTGTTTGTATGCAGGCCGAATTTAAGCATCCTAGTATGTACAAAATCAGAACAAAATAATTTTCTCCATTGATCAAAAATAAATTTTGTGTGATCCAAATAATTCACATGTTCTCTTGTTCTTTTTGTGACTCTATGAATGTTCCTCACTCCAACAAAGTACAGATATCTAAATTTGATATTTATATATACTTTTTCAAAGTATTCCTGTTACCAAGTACCAGTCAAAAATTTGTATCCATTTTTCATGATATTATGCATGGAATCAGGTATATCAAAAATTGTCCTTCACAATAATATCTGATAAGTAAAATTTTGAGTAACTGTTTAGATAGTCTTCTTCTACTCAAAAAAATGATTCGATGAAATAATGAGTCTACCAGGGCTCTTCCAATTCTAACAAGCCAACTTCAAGATAGAGCATTGAGAAGTATAAAGGCAATCCGCCTTGGCAAGAATTCAAGAAATCTTACTCATAAAGCATCACGTTGAATCCAAATAATTTATATATAACATCAGATTCAAAATTGTAACCAAGAGTCATCCATTGGTTCTCATATCAAGCTAGCTCAGGGGCGAACCTACATGGGGTCATATGGGATCAAATGACCTCACAAAATTCTGTCCCCCCCTCCCCTTTAATCCGTTTACAATTTACTTTGATGCACTCGTTACGGGATGTCAAAATAAAGTCAAAATATTATATTCTTAATACCATTTTGAAGTGCTCATGGCCTAAATTTTCACTTATTAATGGCTTGCAAAGTGGTCAACTATAGCAAAAGTTACGACGTGTCAAAGTAAACCGTTTGAAACTAGTATTTTGAGAATTTCGATAATATCCTAACTTTAATAATTCGTCTACGATCATGTGCTATCCAAATCCTCAAATCATCTATGTCATGTAGAAGCTTGGTTCGAAAACTATTTCGTTGTGATATCGAATGGTCCAAACGAATATCAAAATAGTTAAATATGCATCAAATGTACGTCTCGAAAAAATAGGTCGAACTCGTCTTTTCTTTTAAAAATTCAATTATTTCATTAGCGTTTCTATTTTTGCACGATAAACTTTTCAATGTAATTTATATCGTTTCATTCGGCAGTCTTATATGAAATGTGACGTAAAAAATTTTAAGATCGTTACAGATTAAATGTAATTTAAATTACTTTCGAATTACATTTGTTTTAAATTTGAATTTCATTTACTTTCTGAATTAAACGTGAATTTTATTTCAATTCATTTACTTTCTATATTCAATTTAATTTACTCACTGTTAACTCGGCATTTGTCAACGAAATAGTAAACAAAATTATACAAGTAGTTTTTTTTTTTTTTTTTTTTTTTTTTGCTCCAAACATACACGTAGCCATTTCTATAACAAAAGTATGCAATTTCTACTATTAGCAACACCATTTTGCTTTGCTTTCGTCCAAAATCTCTGGACTTTTCAAAGCCCTCAAACTAACGATAATATTTAATAAAATAATAAGTACTCGTAGCCTCTTATTAAAAAGGTTGAACCCCAACCTTGAGGGTCCATACCACCCTGCCTTGAAGTATCATGAGAGAGGTAAATCGCAGGATGTGCCTCAACAGGCCAAGAAACAAGAGTTTGTTCGTACACTGATGTCCACAAAGAGTCCAAATTCATATCTCAGGAATCGAACTCTCACACTGCGGCTACCAGTAAGGTTGAGACTACCTCATTTCTGTTCTTTGCACCACTGAGTTACGCCCTGGAGGTACTCGTAGCCTCTTATTATCACATACATTGAGTTGTGTACCAATTTAAGAGTGTTTTTTATTTTATTTTTGCTCTAATATTTTACCTTCTAAATAGAATTCGTCAATGCCTAAAAATCAAACTTGAAAGAGCTTAATGGTTCACCTTTCTCTAATCTTCAAATCCAGCACAATTGGTAAGTGAAAAATCGGCTCTTTAACGATTATATTATGCTTGTTTCAAGCGACATTGTCGCATGAAAATAGGAACTTAGAACTATCCTTTGCTATGTTACTAAAACCTTGCTAATAGTTGAAAACAATATTAGTGACTCTAGAATTCGACACCTAGGACACAGTAGAAGTAACAACTAAAATATGCCTCAATAAAATCTAAACAATGTTATTCCGACCATGGGGATGATCATGAAACTATTTAGTCACAGTAGGCCGTATCTTTCAAATTTTTAACGAAAGTCCTACTCAACAACATCTTTAGCAATCAAAATAATGTTTCTTATAATTAAAGCTCAGTTTAAAATTCCTAAGATTACGAACTCAAATTATTTTAACAAAATCTAGATGTTGTCTTACTCTACCAAGTATCTACGTATATCAACACCTAAAGGGATACACCGAAAGTAATTAATAAGTAAAATGAAATGAAAATACACAAAATTTATAGAGATTTGTCTCAATGTAAGAATGAGTTATTTTCTATCATTACAGTAATTCACTATGATGAAAAGAAGTTTACAAAAGAAAATCTACATTTATCTTTTTCTAACCTCTATTTTTCTCTTTTATGATGATAATTTAAAAGCCTAACAATGACTCCCTATTTAAAAGACAAATAAAGGCAAAATCGAAACTTACAAGGAGTCAAATTCCTAATACGAATTTTATAAGACACAAATTCCTAAATTGCCCTCAATGAAATGTTGGTGAGGAGGAGTCCCTCACACCTCCAGGGAGACGGGCTTCCTGCCCCATTCCAAGGAGACCTCAACCCGGTGCTCGATCCATGCACTGACTTTGAGAAGCGATAATAATTAGATTCCACAACTTAATATATTTAATGTATGATATATTCTAGATGTTATTCTCCTCTCATTCTATTGCACCTTCTAATTTAAGATTAGAGCGCATATATCAACAATCCCATTAGCTCCCTTTTGACGTGGTCTCATGATGCACATGCAAATTTAACGAAAGATCTTGAAGCATAAGCAGAAGATAGCAAAGACAGGATTCAACTTCAACATAAAGAACGATGGGCTTGTTGAGAAATCTTTGGAGCAGCAATTCTATAACAGTCACTAATTTGCAAAAATGAAAGCCATCAAGTATTACCTAGAGTTCATAAGTACCCAAGGATGGTGAGGAGTTTGTTTAAGACTCATGAATCGAGCAATATACATAGCATTGTAAACCTATTGGCATCAAATCAAAATCAAGAAACGGCCAAATGCACCTGAATACAAAATTGTACAAGAAGCGAAGCGACCCAGGCATATTCCGTCTCCTTGGTGAGATATCACGAAGAACCAACCAAATTCCAAATTTGTATCTGAACGGATTTCAATTCACATAGTAATCAGACCCTAATATCATAATAAAACTTTGATGAACTCCAGGAAGGAATACCCCAAGAACTATAACAAGCATGATGCCAGATGACATAATCTGCTGCTCTTGTTCTAGTGGAAGCTTTCTCCCACCTCGAGCTGCTTCGATGAGGATCAGTGCCAACGAGCCCCCATCTAAAACAGGCAGTCAGAGCCAATCCCGCTAGGAGGCATATGAGGCCGGTACCTCAGGCCCAAAACTACAGGGGCCTCATTTTTAGCCCAATTTTTTTTTTAATTTATATATATATATATAAGATGTATTAAATCTTCCAATCGTTTTTCCAAGGTGTCCTATAAAATGTCATTTAGAACGGTTGTTTCTTGGAATTCGATTATTTCAGCTTATGTAGAGAGCTCAAAGTTTTTCTATTTAGTTGAGGTTTTTGTCAAGATGCTGGTTAGAGGATAGTGATTTTGAGCCGGATGAAACAACAGTGGCGATTGTACTTTCCATTTGTGGAGAGCTTGGTAACTCGAGTCTTGGAAAATGGGTGGGTCCATTCTCATGTTATTGAGAAAGGTATGGTTTTGAATTGTCAATCACAATAAATTTGTTGATTAACAATGTTGTAAAATGAGATTTTGTTAATTGTTACTTCCGAAATTCCAAGTTTCTAATTTACTACCAACTTTGAGTAATTGATTTATTCTATCGAAGTCATGATGGTTATTTGGAAACATGGATGAAAGAGGAAATAAAAACTAGTTAAATGAAAGAAAGATGAGAAGTATGTTTGGACGCATATTTGATATGTGGAATGAAATGCGGTGGAATTCTCAAGGGTGTGATTCCATAATTTTTTATAAAAAAATTTACTTCCAAGGTAAGCAATGGCTTGCCTAACATGTTATTGAATCTATTGAAACTATTTGAAGCATTGTCGACTTATATAATTGTGGCCTTATTAACTTATATGATTGATTATTGTATGATCAATTGCACAGGCGCACGTAGTAACTATATTGAAAATTCTAATTGTAAGATGATTGAAATATTTTGTAATTGTCTTTTAGATTAATCATTGGACATTAGATATAGACTTATGCATTATGCCCCATAAATATGAATCTGGTGCTCAAAAGAGAAAAAGAAAACGAAATAAATTGCATTAATTCAAAGTCAAAGCAACAATGCAATTGCGTTGTTTTAATGTAAAATTTTAAGTTAGCAATATGTTGCATAACACACTGTTGAATTTTACATTTACGTTAATTTTGAGGGCCTAATTTATGAACTTCGTATCGGACCCCGACAATCATAGAATCGACCCTGCAGGCAGGGGAAGAAGATTTATTACTGCAAGAGTTAAGATTTAAAACAGCTGCAAATTGGAAAAAGGCCGTCCATGTTCGACTTAGCAACTTCTGCACCAACGGCTATAATGGCAACTGGACCGGAAACCTTACTGGCAGATTGAGAGACATCCAAAAAAGTCTGGTTCAAACTGTTGAAGACATTTGATGTCAGGCCCCAAAATTCACGTCCGGAGTACTAAAAACCTCTGTAATATTCTTTGCTTTAATCTTCGAAAGCTTAACATTTGGTGATAATTGGACTCCTGTTCTACCAGTTCCATCTGAATTCTCATCAAGAGATTAAATTTCCACATTCTGCTGCCCCCTCCTAGCCTTAAACGATATAATTTCTTCCTGTACTTTTCTTAATTACATCAACAACTTCAGAAAACCAAATTACTAAATGTTTCCCTCCCAATATTCTTGGGTAAAAATGGGTTCTTGGAGTAAAATTGGAGTATGAAGGACCAAAAACTGAAGAAAGAGATTTTGACAAACGAGTTGTAGGTTTTAGAGGAAAATCTGAGATGGGTGTCTTTAAATTAATCAATCTAACCATAGAGTAAGAGGAAGAAGAGGATAATAAGCTTGTCATTGAGATAATTTCTGAAAAGATTATTACGAGGAAGAGATAGACTGCACGAATGAAGCAAAGGGAGTAAAAAACATAGTCAAAAATTGGATAATTGGTATATTTTGTGGAGGCGAAGCAACTTGTGTTCCAATCCGAACGAGTCCCCTCAAAGTTTTCCCATTCTTGGGTTATTAGTGGTGTTTTGGGTAGTTTTCGGGTTTCAGATATGGGTCCGAAATGCGTGAGAATGGGCCCGACCATCTTTTGAATGATCTTTTTATAAAAATATTGAAATTGTCAATGCTAGTAATGGACGTGGAGAGGAGAGGAGAGGAGAGGTGCCAACCATGCCAGCGCAACACCTGCGAGACGGTCTACCCACATTTATGTCCTTAAATAAACGATCTAGTTTTATCTTGCAAATTGAAAGAGTAGTTGAAATAGTGATCATTGTTTTCTGAGATCTGATTTTAAAATTGAGTGATGATTGACATACAGGGATGCATTCACAGGGCCTTTATAGTTTACAAGTTACAAACGATGGAAGGAGATGGGTGCGTTAATTTTTAGCCATTTTTTATTCAAGTTGGGCCCATCTTTGTAGAACCTGATTTCTATACATGAGGATTAATACTTCTAAAGTCATTATTAAGGATGAAATCAGAATTCAAATGCATAAGAATTAGTACTATAATTTGTTTTCAAAATGAACTTCAACAATGCGTAGGAATGCGCCTTACTCTTCAATATGGATATAATTAACCCAAGTTTTTAACTTAAAAAGTTTAAAAAGTAGACAAAAAGAAGTACAATGAAGAAGATTTGGAATTCTGAAGAGCATTAACTAGTAACGTTGATAATTATAGAAGTTTCAAAATAACTTCTGAGTTGATCTTAATGCCTGGAGGATACTTGAAACTTCTCAATGCTAGAGTAAAAAGAGGAAGGGGAAAGTCCCCCCCCCCCCCCCCCCCCCCTCCTCCTCTTATTATATTTGTTACTTTTATTTAAACTCAAAAAGGTAAAACTGTATTTGAATAATTCAAAGCAATGTTCATGAGTTAAACCACAATAAAAAATGGTTTTAGAGCGAAATTAGGTTCCAGCTCAACTGTATGTACCCTATATGAAGTAAAATAAAATTAATGTTGAGTACCACAGTTAGCAAAACATTGTTTAACTATTTGAAACTGAATACGGAATAAAATAAAATAACATTACTCATATCATTATATATAATGTTATCTAACATTTGTGGGAGTATCATAACACTCAAAATGATAAATTCAATTAAATATAAGAAATAAATAACTCATTTACTCAATCCTATAATTCAATGTTGTTCATTACCACATTGATCAATATTATAAAATACTTGTGCCAAATATTGATACTCTTATCATTATTTGTATTCACATATGAGACCAAGAGCCAAGAAGTTGTTATCCTATTCATGAGGATGGTGTTCCACGCTGCCAATCTCGACTAATATCCTGCTGATGTGTCACACCAAAATCTTCAACTCCCAACACGAACCATCTTGCAAATTTCAATTACCCATCTGCCATTATTCTATAGTACTCGTAATTATAATTATAGTTTATTATTGCAAGAAATGTCAGCAAAAACACCATCCTATTTCTTTGAAATTCAACAGTAAAAGGCCCAAATTGTACCATTCTTTTCTTCATTCTGATGATTTAATGGCTTTAAAGGGTTTCTTAATCAATACTGGAGGTGGGTTTCCTCAATTGGACTGGGGACAGTTGAACTTTAAGCATTTGGGGAGTGTTTATAAGGTGAGAGTTGGGTCTGTTAGTGTTTCATCAGATGAGAATCCTTCAAATTCAACGGCCGACTTGCAGAAGAGTGTTGATAAGAGAGAAAGTAGCGTGACCAAGAAAGTGCAGAAAGGTTTGAGCTTTTTACCAAGTAAGAAATTTTTCATTCAAATGGTTTATTGATATGACTTGTTCTCAAGTATGGATTATTTTGTTTTCACTAATGATAAAAAGATTATGATTTTATACTAGTAGGCTGCATTTGGCATATAAAATAATGAAAAAATACAAGTAGATGGCAATGTGGTGGAATAAGAAGGAGAGTTTTTCTTTCAATTTTTCATTCGGAAGGTTGGAGGTGCGCATTGGCCAACAAGAAAATATAGGTATCATGGTATTCTTTTGAATGAAAAATCAAAGAATACTATCCATCTTAATCCATCATAATACCATGTACCTATAACCTATTAATGTCCATTATAATCTTCTACTAAATTCCTTATATTGTCTAATCCGAAGCACGAAACACAGCCATAAAGTACTATTTTCTGTTATGAACACTAAGGTTAAATTCATGAATGTGTCCGTTTGTAATAGTTTAAAGTTTTGGATGAGGAGGTTCAACGTAATGTCCTTCCTAACATTTAAAACTCTAAGTGCATGTGGTTTAACATAATGTCACAGTATGCAGAGTAACTGGGTTCAGGTCACTCAGCCCCTCATTTATGACTGATTATGTGCAGGCCTTTGATAAAATGAATGTAGATTGCATGTGAGGGACACGTTGAAGATTGAACTACGACAATATAAACAAATTGGCTAGACATGATTTATTGGAACTTACCTGCTTTACATATTGCCAATTTTAATTAATCTTCATTCCCACACGATTAAGTTGTATAAATTGTACAATTTTATCTTTTTAAAATGTCAAGAAAAAAAGTTGATTACAAGAGTTTTAGAAACTTGAAACTACAATAAGGATAACGAGACGGTTTTATTACAGAACATTGATAATGCTGTTTATGTGTGTGTGTGTGTGTATTACAATTTTTAGTCTTATGTCTATTAACAGATTTTATATTCAGTTATTTTAATAATACAATTCTAATCTCAAGATTGTCACCTAGTGTACACATGCCAGTTCGTTGGAAGCTTCTTGCCAACTTCTGCTAATATAATCTTATTAAGCGAAATTCTCTTCATGTTCATCTAGAGTGCAAAATTATGTGATGGGAAACCTCCTGACATCATCTACAAACGAGGTTCCCCCACCATGCCTTCCATGACTATCCAAGAGCGTCATGACATATCTCTCACTTTACTTTAGCATGACGAGTGTGTGCCTGTGCTCTAGCAATGGGTTTATCTGACTATATTCTTCGAGTATAAACCATAAAAAAAACTTATGATCTAAGTTGCAATATTTTGGATTTGAGATAAGGTACTAGAACTAGTATGTCCCCCTTATTCCCAACATGCTATGGTCGTCCAGGACAGGTAGGAATGGGGTTAAATTTTAGGAATGTAATAGCCGCCTTCTCCACTTGCTATCAAATTGGTGGATTTTTCGAGTAGGTTGTATTTATGATCGGGTGTTAGTTCCTATTGTTATTAGAAAAATAAACATGCATTTAACCTATTTAATTTAGTTTCATGAATTTAGAAGTTTGAAATACATGTATTATTATTTAATATGCACCTAGTTAATTGTAGTTCATGTATGCATGTATTATTAATTAATGTGTACCTAGTAAATTGTGGTGTATGTAGTAGAATTAAATTGAGGGGATGAACTTATGTGATAGGAAGTCCTATAAATACCTATGTAATCTTGTGTTGAATGCAAGTCCACAATTGAATAGAAAATCATTTCCTCCTCCTAAGTCCACTTCTATTTCCTACAAAGTGGTATCAGAGCCACAATACTAGAAACAATGACAAATACCAACATGATCCCCTTCCAAGTTTCAAAACTGTCCAAAGAGAAATTTGATAATTGGTGCATCCGCATGAAGACACTACTTGGTGCACATGATGCATGGGACATCATGGAGAATGGTCATGAGGCTCCCACCGATCTAGCTGCTCTCACCCAAGCACAAAGGGATCTTTTACAAAGCACTTAGAGGAAGGATCAAAAGGCTGTTTCTCTTATTCACCAAGCATTGGATGAGGCCACTTTTGAGAATGTTTCTAATGCTACTACAGCAAAACAATTATGGGATATGCGTCAAGTTGCCTGTAAAGGAAAGGAGAAGGCAAAGAAAGTTCGCCTCCAAAATCTACGAGGTGAATTTGAAGCTATTCAAATGAAGGAATCCGAAAAGGTGTCGGATTATATTTCAAGAGTGGTGACCGTTGCAAACCAAATGAAGAGGTTTGATGAAGATGTAACTGATTTAAGGGTGATTCAGAAAATCCTTAGACCAGTTAGTGAGAAATTTGATCACGTGGTGACTGCCATTGAAAAATCTAAGGACTTGGAAGATATGACAATTGAAGAATTATGCGGATCATTGGAAGCATATGAAGAGAAGCTTAATCGAAGAAGGAAGGAGCCATTGGAGCAGGTTTTACAATCAAAGCTCACATTGAAAAACAAGGAAGAAAAGGGAAATACAAGTTTCAAAGGACGAGGGCGTGGACGAGGACGTGGACGAGGCTTTGGAAGAGGAGAAAGAGTTAACCATATTTCATTTCAACGTAAAGATGAAAATTATCAATCCAACTCAACAAGAGGACATGGCAAAGAAGGAGCAAGACCATATCAAAAGAGGTATGACAAGTCACAAGTTAAATGTTATACTTGTCATCAATTTGGACATTATTCATGGGAATGTAAAAGTGGTGAAGGTGCGAAAGCTAACCTTTCTCATGAAGAAGATATAGAATATAATGAAGAGATAGAGTCTACTCTTTTGATAGCTTGCAAGGACTTGCAGCAAGGAGAAAAATATTCTTGGTTCCTTGATACTGGAGCTAATAATCAAATGTGTGGGAACAAAGATTTGTTCATAGAGTTTGATGAGAAGGTTGGTGGCAATATCACATTTGGGGATTCCTCCAAAATTCCAGTAAAGGGGAAAGGTAAAATCTTGATACGTATGAAAGATGGAAATCACCAATTTATTTCAAATGTCTACTATGCTCCAAATATGAAGAGTAATATTTTGAGTGTGGGTCAATTATTGGAGAAATGTTATGTTTTGTTCACAAAAGGTTGCAGTGTGTTTTTAAAGGATGATGCAGGAAATTTGATTGCTAAAGTACCTATGGCGAAAAATTGTTTATTTGTGTTGTCCATACAAATTGATATGGCTAAGTGTTTGACGTCGTATTATAAAGACTCATCATGGTTGTGGCATTTACGATTTGGGCACATAAATTTTGGAGGGCTCAAAACAATGGCTAACAATGGAATGGTGAAAGGTTTGCCTCCAATACATCAGCCTAATCAGCTTTGTGAAGGGTGTCTTTTTGGTAAGCAGTCAAGAAAGGTCTTTCCAAATGAATCTCAATCAAGAGTTTCAAGGTAACTACAATTGATACAAACTGATGTATGTGGGCCAATCACTCCATGTTCTTTTGGTAAGAACAAATATTTTCTTCTATTTATTGATGATTTCAGTAGAAAAACATGGGTGTACTTTCTAAACGAAAAATCGGAGGTGTTTAAGTGCTTTCAGAATTTTAAAACTCTTGTAGGAAAAGAAAGTGGATTTAAAATCTAGGTTGTGAGATCAGACAGGGGAGGCGAATTCACTTCCAGAAATTTTCAAGACTTCTGTGATGCCAACGGAATTCGTCGGTTTCTAACCGCTCCAAGATCTTCACAGCAGAATGGAGTTGTTGAACGAAAGAACCGAAAAATTCTCAATATGGCAAGGAGCATAATGAAGACAAAGAAAATGCCAAAAGAATTTTGGGCAGAAGCTGTCATACTTTCTAAACGAAAAATCGGAGGTGTTTAAGTGCTTTCAGAATTTTAAAACTCTTGTAGGAAAAGAAAGTGGATTTAAAATCCAGGTTGTGAGATCAGACAGAGGAGGCGAATTCACTTCCAGAAATTTTCAAGACTTCTGTGATGCCAACGGAATTCGTCGGTTTCTAACCGCTCCAAGATCTCCACAGCAGAATGGAGTTGTTGAACGAAAGAACCGAAAAATTCTCAATATGGCAAGGAGCATAATGAAGACAAAGAAAATGCCAAAAGAATTTTGGGCAGAAGCTGTCGATTGTGCTGTCTACTTGTTGAACCGGTGTGCCACAAAGGCTTTAGCCCACAAGACTCCACTTGAAGCATGGAATGGGAGAAAACCAGCAGTATCTCATTTGAAAGTATTTGGATGCATTGCATATGTCCATGTTCTTGATGAGAAGCGCTCGAAACTTGATGACAAGAGTAAAAAATGTGTGTTCGTTGGCTATGATTCAAAAACAAAAGGCTACAAGCTCTATAATTCAAATGATGGGAGGATATTTATTAGTAGAGATGTGGATTTTGATGAGGAAGCAATATGGAATTGGCATGTTGAAGAAGATAACTATGACTTTCTTCCTTTCTTGGAAGAAGAAGATGATAATGAAGAAATACATGAGACCACTATTCCTCCAACATCACCATCACGTGGTGAAATTGATGTTTCTGAAGGAAGTTCAAGTGAAAGGCTTTCGCGTACAAGGAGGCTTGATGATAAATATCGAGAAACCGAGAGAATTGATGATATTACTTTCTTCTGTCTGTTTGCAAATATTGAGCCCATAAATTTTAATGAAGCTGTCGAGGATGAGAAATGGAGAAAAGCCATGAATGAAGAAATCGAAGCAATTGAGAAGAACAATACTTGGGAATTAACAACTCTTCCCAAGGGACATGCTGCCATCGGAGTTAAATGGGTGTACAAAACTAAGAAAAATTCAAAAGGAGAGGTGGAAAGATACAAAGCAAGACTTGTGGTGAAAGGATACAAACATCGTCAAGGCATCGATTATGAAGAAGTTTTCGCTCCAGTATCTTGGTTAGAGACCATACGACTGATAATTTCTTTGGCTGCTCAAAACAAGTGGAAGATTTTCCAAATGGATGTCAAGTCAGCCTTTCTCAATGGCTATCTTGAAGAGGAGGTCTATGTGCAACAACCCCCCGACTTTGTAGTAAAAGGAAATGAGGACAAAGTGTTGAAATTAAAGAAAGCTCTTTACGGCCTAAAGCAAGCACCAAGAGTTCGGAATTGTAGAATTGATAAATATTTTCAGGAGAATGGCTTTACCAAGTGTCCTTATGAGCATGCTCTCTACATTAAGGAGAATGACAATGGTGTTCTGATTGTTTGTCTGTATGTCAATGATCTAATTTTTACAGGCAACAATCCAAAGACGTTTAAAGAATTCAAGAGAAAAATGTGT